TCAGAAAAAACAAAAATGATTAGTTTATTTTATCAAAATGGAAATATAAATACCATTGTGCATTGTTCTTGGACTCAGTATGATTTCTGTTTTAAGTTAAATTGGAGATTCAAGGAGGATGAATTAGTAAAATATTCGTAGCCCAAATTACTAACATAATCTATGGTAAAAGTTCTGTATATGACTCCTTTCTGGTAACGTTTTGAATTTTTAGATGCGCAGCCAGAGGAAAGGGGGCTACAAGGGCCATATCCCCACAATTGACAGAAAAAAAAAATTAATAATAATTAAAAAATTAATAATAATTGATAATGAAAAATTTGTATTTGCATGATTACAGACAGTGATACATCCTCATTATGGCATCTCGTGAACGTGATGTTGCACGTTCTTATGTGAGTGGGTCACAGAAAAGAAAGATGTAGGAAGCTGCAGAAAGATCACAGACATGCTCACGAAAACAGTTTCTGATGTTACCAGTACAGTTGAATCTGCAGATACGTCAGATCATACAGGAAGCCCTCCCTCCATTATTTCTCAGCCAGCATCTACTTCTTTTGTGTCTCCTCTCAATGTCTCAACGGACATTTCATCCACAGGATTTGTCTTAAAAGATCCTGCCTCATGGCCAAATGTAATCCCAGATTCTCTACGTAATGCTTTCATTGCAGAAAACTTCAGCAAACTCTGAAACATTGACTTTAGGAAATCAGCAAGGATTTATGATGATGGAAGTCGTCGTTGTTTAAAGTCATCTATGTTTTATAGGAAGCTTGCAAATTCAGAAACTGTGAAAAATCATGATGGTATATCTCTGAAAGCTCAGGAAAAGTTGTACTGTTCAGCATAGCAAGCTATTTTCTACCAAAGAAAATACCTTCCACAGGGGTTCAATGACTGGAAAAAATTCCAAGCGTTTCGAGGAACATGAAAAACAGCACCACTCACAGGAGCTGCATTTTAGCCAGTGTATTTCGTGCACAGAAAAAAGGCTTATTGGATTCCTCATTTGGAAAATCAACTGAAAAAGAGCACAATTATTGGAGAAAAGTTCTAGAAAGAGTTGTTGCTGTTGTAAAATTTCTTAGCTCTAAGAGGACTTGCTTTCGTGGAGAAAATGAGGTTTTGGTCGGAAAACAATGGCAATTTCCTAGGGATCATAGAACTGTTAGCACAATTCGATCCATTCTTAGCAAATCATGTGTCACGCCTTGGGGAATGCAGGAAGAGGCACTGTATCTTACATGTCATCTACTATTATGCAATGAATTTATTGAATGATGACTAAGAAGGTCCTCCAATAACATCATAGCAGCTGTGAAAACTGCAAAATACTTTGCAATAAGTGTAGATTCAACACCAGATATTTCACATTACAGATCAATTGACATTCATTGTTCGCTTTGTCGACTCCAGTGGTAAGCCTGTAGAGCGCTTTATAAAATTCATTTCCTCTTTCAGGCCATGATGGAAGAAAACAATGATGAATGTAAGTATGGGATACTCTGCTTGAACATTGATCTCTCTATTTATGGATTGCCGGTGGCCAGAGCTTACGACAATGCAAGTAACATGTCGGGTAAATTAATGGATTGCAAGCCCGTATCAGCAAATCAACCCACTTGCTGAATATGTGCCCTGCTCAGCCATTCTCTTAATCTTGTTGGGCCATGTGCTGCGGAGTGTTGTGTCGCTGCAGTTTCATTTTTTTTGGACTTTTACAAGCCTCTTTAATTTTTTCTCTGCTTCAAACGCACCGGTGGAGTATACTCAAGTCAACCATTCATGGAGATGTCATCAAATCATTATCAACAACAAGGTGGTCAGCGCAGCATGATGCAAACACATGCTTTGAAAGACAGCTTTGCTGAAATACTTTCTACTTTGATCCAAAATAGCAGAGGATGAAGACCAGACAGCAACTACAAGAAGCGAAGCAGCCAGCTTAGCATCAAAAATTGGAAGATTTTGAATTGGCCTTACTCTGTGTGCTTTGGGACTGTATACTGGAACGGTTTAAATGCCACGAACAAGACACTTCAGAAAATTGAAAACTGAAATGGCTACTTGTGCTAACCTCTATGCAGGCTTAGTGGAATTTGTAAGCTCACTTCGCAATGAAGAAGCTTTTGAAATGTTTGAAGAGAAGCAAAAAATGTTGGTGAAAGACTCAGTTCCCCGGGCTATCTCAGCGGTCAAGGAAGGGGAAACCCAATTTTGAAGAGCCAGACAATGAAATTGTTTTGCTCCCAAAGGCAGAAATGTAAGACAGCTACATACTTCGTCATTTGGATTCCGGATTACGGGAATGGTGAAAAGAAAAGAAATTCCGAACTCAAAAATTTTGGTTTTCTTTTAAAATTTACTATTTTGCCAGTGCAAAATTTTGAGAGAAGTGCTTTTTAAAGTTGCAACAACACCTTTCAGCAGTGTTCAGGACACATTTGTTGAAGAAATAGTTCATTTTTTTTGGGTATATAAAATCAGATTAAAGTCCACCGAAAAATGTGCCCCCCCTCACCTGTTTTTGAAACTTTAAGAAATGCGGGGTATTCAGAAACCCCCCCTAATTTTTTGACTAGTGTATCAAAAAACCTTTTCCCTAATGTTAAATAGTGTATCAGAAAACCTTTCCCCTAATGTTGAAAAGGGTATCAGAAACCTTCCCCTAATGTTGACATAGTGTTCAGAAACCTTTCCCCTAATTTGCTAGAGTACAGAAACCTTCCAAATGTTGAATGTGTATCAGAAACCTTTCCTAATGTTGACTAGTGTATCAAACCCCCCTAATTTTTGACAAGTGTTTCAAAAACCCCTTCCTAATTTGACATTTGTATCAGAAACCTCCTAATGTTGACATAGAGTTCAAAAACCCTTCCCTAATTTTGAATAGTGTTCAAAAACCTTCCTAATGTTGACTAGTGTATCAAAAACCTTTCCCCTAATGTTGAATGTGTTCAGAAACCTTCCCTAATTTTGACATAGTGTCTCAAAAACCTTCCTAATGTTGACATGTGTCTCAGAAACCTTCCATAAGTTGCCCATGTGTTTCCCCTTTTCCCCTAACACTTCCAGCAAAATAACTGTGAAGGAAAGTTCATTTTTTGTTTTGAAAAGAGTGAAAAAAAAAAACCAGCCCCGTTCAAAAATTTGACCCAAGACAAATTGTGTAAACCTACCCTTTTTGCCCTTTGATTTGATCTAACAAGAAATATTGATTTTCATAATATAATTGATTGATTTTGCCAACATGAAAATCCAGAAAAAAGTTTATTTAAAAAGTGGCCCTGTGAATATAAACAATTCTTAACTTTTTTGAGTTATGCATGATTGCAATGATAACAATAATGGTCAGTGATTTATAAAGGGAATAATAGTGCTGTAGTGGTTATGCTGAATATAATAGGTACATGATGTCACTACTTTAATGCCTAATCTAGTAATACTATGCGTCTTGAGTTTATTCTCTTTAAAATGCATGTTTTAAAACAAGATAGTTATAATGGCTGTTGGTAAATGGTTTTGGTTGTCTTGATGTACTTTCCCTTATTAAATTTAATCTAAATAGCCAGAATGTATTTAATTAACCTTAAACAGGCTCACACCGCCCCCCGCCCCCCCAAGCTGGAAGGGGTCGCTTCGCTTACCCGAAACTCAAAGGGGCCCCGCCAATCTGAATAGCCTGGGGCCCCGGAGACTTCTTAATTTTGGCCCTGGGTATAATATGGTCTTTTTGATGCCAGAAAGTTAAGACCTTTCCCTGAATATTATGACATGGGGCCCAAAGAGCCGAAACTCGGACCCCCACAACTAGGCAAGAGCCAGGAACTCAACTCGGGCAGCCACAACAAGGTGAGCAATCAAGGACACTGACGGGTTAAAGTGTACATATATGAATAATTGTAAAAAAATACCACAAATCTTCATGTGAAGACATGATTTTATTTTTTTCACTGTGGTATTTTTTTTGGGCATATTTAAAATCACACAGCCGGACTGTGGTTCGTATTTTGGATACGTGCGGCCAGCAGTAACAGCCTGGTTGATCAGGCCCTGATCCACCATGAGGCCTGGTCACAGACTGGGCCGGGCGGGGGCGTTGACCCCCGGGAACTTTCTCCGGGGTAAACTGATTTCTTCCATGTAAATAGTGAGTACTCCCCCATGTGAAGCCGATACAGCCGATACCCGTCACTAAGAATGTCAGCTAAGATAGCTGGGTAGCTGTTCAGCAGCGAGTAGGCTGGAAGTGAGGGGAGTGCAGGGGAGTCACCTGAGGGAAGATAGGTAATTTCAGTGAAGGGTAAATACAGCACCAGTGGATAAACTGAGGGGAGACAGTAAGGCATTATTATTATAATTCTTGGGGAAGCGCTAAACCCGAAAGGATTATCAGCCCCTTTGGGGGGGGGGGTAATGGAAGGTATTCAGGCATAATTCAGGGAACTGAAGCACAGTATCCAATCCCCTAGATCAAGGCCTCTCACCACGTAAAAGGAACTTCCCTTGACTGGAGACAGAATGCAGACGCCCCTCGTAATCAATTGGGTAACAATGTTAGCTCTTTTTTTGTACATATTTTTATACTTCAGATTTTGTCCTCGTATTAATAAAGTCACTGGATGGTGAAACGTCTACAAAATGGTTAGATTTGGCTTAGAGACGTTAATTAAGCTAACCTAAATAACGTATAAGGGAACATTTTCTTAAATCTGTTAGAAAAAGATATCTAGTTTGCCTTAGAAGGATGAACTTGCAGTAAGCGGAGAGGCAGTACATCACTGGAGTGGGGAAAAATTGAATCATTTTAGAGAAACAGTGTTGTGTGTATCAGAAATACAATATATAATTTTGGAGGGGGTAAAGCCGTGGAAGGCTTCGGTCAGATGACCAAAAGCTCCAGCTGTGGGTCATCATAAGACCCGTCTCAAGAAGCACTTATCCTGTTTCCTGACAAACCTACCAGTGTTTTGTAGTGTTTGAAAGACAAGTGTTGTCACATACCCCAGGCATGATGACTCTCTCAATATCAGCCATAACATCACTCCACTCATCAGGGGTGTCAGGAGCTTGTGCTGGCAACAGTGGTCGTAGATACCCAGGTTCCACTTCTGGTAACACTCTCCTGTTATTTGGATTTATAAACATAATTTATGTCTGGTATATATTAGTAAGTAATTTATATAGCACTACTTTGGTGCATTTCTTAACTGCTTAATTTAATTCTCAAAAATTTAGCTTTAGTCTTCCTGAAAACCAATGTTCATAGGGAAAGATTTTGTATTTTTTTTTTTTAAAACATAGGACAAATAGAAGGTGTAAAAGTATAATGAAAAGAATCATACTACTGGATATTAACAATAAACTCCAAATATCACAACCCCAGTACAGAAAATAAACACACCATAGATAATGGCAGTATTACAACCAAACATAACTCACATCATATCCTGCCAACCCCACATTATACCAAGTATTACTATTGCCTGTGCTGACACACGGCTGACACTCCCCCCCCCACTCTCACATTAAAAATATATTCACATTCACCATTCTGAATAATCATAACATTAATTAACCGTAAATTTAGGATCAACCCTGAACTCGTCAATAACTTAAGAATAAGTATTTACAAAGATTGGTGGTACACGGACACCAAAATCACAAAACATGAAATTACAATTAACAAATATGAACATTACATTCCTAAACACTTATACACCTTTATAAGTAGATGAATATACACCTACAAGTTATAAATATCAATATTAATGTAGCCACCATGAAGATTCAACCTTTATAACAACATTGCATAAAGTGCAGTTTACATTTTATAGTGCTATTAAATACACTACATTACTACATTATTGGAAAAGTACAAGGATGTATAAATACAGTAAAATAATACAATACTAGGACATGAATAAAGATTCTCCACATGACACAACGTGATTATAGTAAATTAGAAGCAACATACCAAAAACCATTATAACAACTATCACGCCACGTACAAACATACCAACTATTACATTCCAGACGAGTGCCAAAAGGTGTCTGATGAATGTAGCTACAGAAAGGGACGAGAATGATTTTCTATTTTTTAGCTAACATACGTGTAAATTTGACCTTATTCCTAGTAATGACCCTCGTATTGTAGATAGTCTTAATGACCCTCGTGTAGTAGATAGTCTTAATGACCCTCGTGTAGTAGATAGTCTTAATGACCCTCGTGTAGTAGATAGTCTTAATGACCCTCGTGTAGTAGATAGTCTTTTTAGTATGATAATAAGATGTTATCTTCATTATAGAATAATAAGAAAATATTATAACCTTTATATTATAATAATAAGGTAAAAGGACCCCAATGGAAATAAGTCGTCACTCTGTCTGACTTTTTTGTTATCCCAGGTTCTCTACACATATGCTGCTATGTATGATAATTCTATGTAACTGTATTTGTGTATACCTGAATAAACTTACTTATTCCACATAATTAGACATTCGCTGTGTCTGCGAGCACGTGCCTAACTACAACATTACATCCATATAAAATAACCCCGGTATTGCAGTCATTTGCTGTCGCACCTTCTGGCCTCGCAGCACGCAAGCCGATGGCTTGTCTCCCCAGAGTACCTCGTCCAACCCCGCCTGTACCCGTACCCCTGCAAATCGCTCTTCTTGCAAATCCCTTATCCTGTCCTTCAACATTTGTATTTCCTCCACTGGGTAATCCCCAGCCACCGCCCCCCCCCCACGTAACATTCCCGTAATCTAGATTCCAAATAATTTTACAAGCCATACCACAATTGATTAATTCGTTTGCCCTCCCTCAAGTAAAACTGACGGATTCTTGCCTTTGCCACACTGTCCCACCATCCTACCACATCCTCCACAGTCCTTCCCTCCGCACAGAGCTGTTCCCATAATACTGCAAAACCTTCCTCTCCCTCCCCATCCCCCAGAACCATCGTATTCAGTTTCCAATAACTCCCATACCATAGCTTCCCACCCCACCTCCACCATTACCGCCCTATGATCGGAACACACCATCTCAATAGTTTTAAAAGACTACCAAAACCCTCTGCGATAGATATATCCTGTCCAACCGAGCCGCATATCCCCTCCGTACAAAAGTATGTTCCACCTCCCAAATACCTCCCCCAAATGCATCTCTTAACTGGAGATCTCTAAAAAGGCCCCCAAAGACTGAAGAAAAATACCCCGCTCCCCTGGGTTCCACGTCTGCCCTCTTAACTACACATTTCCAATCCCCCCCCACAATCGCCACAGACGGTAACGTGCGTAGGAAGTACACAAGTTCCTCACGCACGAAATCCATCTTTACTTTCGCATCACTTTCAGCTGGGGCATATACACACAAACGACACTCTCATCCACCATCCTTTCACACGTAATACTCTCCCCCCTCCCCCCTCATTCCTGTGCAAAACAAACGAGCTCGCCTCCCTGATCAACACACCCCCTCCCCCTTTCAACCACTCAGACGGCAACACAAAAGCTTGGTAACCAGACACCACTAATTCACGACCAAGCTTAAAATTATGTTCCTGCACAAAAGCCACGTCTACCTTATATCTGCTCAAAAACACTAAAGTACTCACGTTTCACGCCATCATACAAACCATTTATATTTATTCAAATTCAAATTCAAATTCAAAGTTTATTCTCTATAAGGATTACAATGTTGAATTTACAGAATTTGGTTATTGTGTGGTTTACATGTAGTTAAATAATGATTACAGAGTGTACCACTAGAACGCCTAGCATGGCTAGGCATTTCGGGCAGACTTAGTTTAATTCTTTATTTTAAAATATTACAAATTATGAGGTAAGTTGGTATTATGGCTAAGTGACTAAATACTAGTTTGTGAGTTTAGCAATGTGAATGCCTTTGTTTTGGCACAGTACATAGTTTCAGTATTGGAGTATCATAGGATTCATTATTTTAAGATTGAGATTAATATTTCTGTTTATGGTCAAATGGGTGAGTGAGTGTAAGTGTGAACCACTAGGTGGTATTCGTGGAGTTAGTTGATGGGGTGCATCAGGGAGATAAGATGTTTTCTAATGGTAGTTTTAAAGGTGATGAATGTGTCTGCAGTTCTAGAGTTCTCAGGTAGGGTGTTCCAGATTTTAGGGCCTTTGACATACATTGAATTTTTGTAAAGGTTTAGTCGGACACGGGGAATGTCGTAGAGATGTTTGTGTCTGGTGTTATGCCTGTGGGTTCTGTCACAACTATCAAGAAAGCGTTTTAGGTCAAGGTTGATATTGGAGTTTAGGGTCCTGTAGATGTAGATTGCACAGAAGTAAGTGTGGATGTATAGTTACAGTTACACACCTGAGGCCAGCTTAAGGTTTCCCTCCCCGCCGCCTTTCAACACTCTTTCCTTTCCGACCATTCCCCTGGGCATTACCTTAAACTCAGCATTGTAATCCTTATAGATAATAAACTTTGAATTTGAATTTGAATTTGCCACTCTATCCACTCTCCTTCCCAACCCTCCCCCCCCCTCCGGCTGTTGTGGCCCTCTCTTGGGGTCACTCTGGGTCTCATAAAGTGCAACTAGGTGAGCGCGCGCGCACACACACACACACACACACATATACATACACACACACACACATACCACACACACACACACACACACACATACAACAGGCCTAGTGTCTATTCGACATGTGCCTAGGACAAAATGGTAACTAACCCCATGTCTTTTTCCTTGGCCTTTGCGCCGGCATCAGGACATCGTCCGAATCTGATGCCGCCGCCTCTTTCCTCGTTACTACCTCCGCCTCCAAATCTGTGTCCTAAGAGGCCTCACAATGGATGTAAATTGTGAGTTCATTACCTTTGTAAATTGTGAGTTCATTACCTCTGTAACTTGCTCAGCTATCAAAACTTTGGAGTCCAGTCCCTGGACCAATTATGTACCTCTGCAATCTTTTGACTACCGCCCACAGGATGGGTATGGGGTACATAATAAACATATTAAACTTAAACAATGGACTACCACCTCCACCACCCCGAATTCGCCTCCATGGCCTTCCGTGTCCACTGCACGGTCCTCCCTCCTCAAACACAAACCTTCCGCCCCGAGCCCAGGCTCCTGCTCCTTGTGACTCTCCTCCTCCGTAGGCTGTAACATAGCCTGCAACACCGTCGCCAATTCTTCCTCTATAGCCTTCACTTCGGCGCACACTTGCACCTCCTCACTCAACAACTGTACTGACGATGGGCTGGGTGATTCTTGGGTCTCCACGTCCTCTCCCGTTTCCATAGGAGGAGACACCTATGTATTATATTTAATGAGTATCCCGAGATAGTATTCCTGGCATCATCGGTTACTGGTATAGCTGGACAGTGAAGCTTGTATAACATAGCTGGGAATAACTACACAAGTATATCACATAGAGAATCACTAATATTACTGACACTACTTCCTCACTAAAATCACTGCCCTTTCCCAAGTAAAGAAAGACTTCTTAATGTTTCTGTGGCTCATATGTCTCTTAAACTTCCAGCTGTGTCCTCACGTCCCAGTGATTTGCCTATCAAACAGCCTATCCGTTGACTTAATCAATTCCCATGAATATTTTGTATGTTCTTAAGTCTCGCTTGGTTTCTGTCCTCCAATTCAGTTTCGTTAGCTTCTCGCAGCTTATAATGTTTAGTTCATAAATTAGACACATGTGCAACTCTTGAGTAACTTTATTGAGCAGCTTATATACCGTAGGCAGGAGAGGTGCAGCAGTCGTAGGTGGTGTCACATTTGTTCATTGTGGAAGTAGGTCGTGTCCAAGGGTTAGGCAAGCGAAAAATTCCCAAGTATTAAGATCCCAAGAAGTTGCAGTGTCTGACAGGATTGTAGATGAATGGTTCACAGAGCCGACACTTGGGAATTCTTCGCTTGCCTAACCCTTGGGCACGACGGATGAGATTTATTTGCGTGTGTAGTCCCCTAGTTGTGGTTGCAAGGATCGATTCACAGCTCCTGGCCCCACCATTTCGCTAGTCACTACTAGGCTCACTCCCTGTACTCGCCTAGTTGTGGTTGCAGGGGCCGATTCACAGCTCCTGGCCCCGTGCGTGTCAAATAACTGTTTAACATAGTGTGTCTAACAATGTCTCACCTTTCTCTGATGTTGGTGAGATAGTCTGCGATATAATCAGTCATCTGCCTGGACGCTGCTCTGAACTGCTCACCGTCCATCCTGGAAAACAAATAACTATATTCACGAGGAGCGCTAAACCTGCAGGGAGCATGTACAACCTGGGGAGGGAAGGGAGTGCTAATGAGCTTTGATCCGAGGAAGGAAAGAGTAGCTTCGATGAAGAGCTCTTCATCGTGAGAGAGAGAAATATAAAGATAGACAGAGAGAGAGAAATATATATACAGAGAGACTACTACCAAAATGCAAGTCCCTGATCCAGCAAGGGACCCTCCTTGGCTAGCTGCAAGAACTGTCAAAACTGTCAGTGGTGACAAGGCAGGAGGTGCATTTCCTTCTTAAATTGCTTGGCCAAGAAAAGGCTGTGGGCCCAGACAAGTTGAGCCCAAGATTGCTGAGATGTGCAGACCAGCTAGCAGCACCTCTAACTTGCATCTTTCAGCACTGCCTAGTACAGTGTAAATGGCTTTCTCTGTGGAAAGAGGCAAATGTTGTCCCTGTTCACAAATAGAGCAGAACAGAAATCAGCAACTACAGACCAGTGTCACTCCTGTCTATCACTGGCAAGATCCCTAAGACAACAATCTCAAGACAAATGACAGTTTTTTGACTACCACTCACTACTTTGTGACCGTCAATATGGCTTCAGGAAAGGTTACTCTGCTGCTGGTCTGTTGTTAAACCTGTCCACTAAATGGTACCAATCAGTGGATGAATCGAAAGTCAACTGTGTGGTAGTACTGGACATTGCTGGTGCTTTCGACCGAGTGTGGCACCAGGGCCTCTTGGCAAACCTGCAAGCTCTGGGAATTGCAGGCTGTACGCTATGTCTCCTCTGTGATTACCTTCATGGTAGATCTCTAAGGGTAGTTCTCAATGGAACGGAATCAGCAAGACATCCTATTGGGGCAAGTGTTCCACAAGGAAGCGTTCTGGGACCATTGTTATGGAATGTCTACTTCAGTAATCTTCATTTCATCCCAGAATCCCATGCATATGCAGACGACTGTACACTGACATTCACTTATCTAAGAGAAGAAATGCCAGCTGCTCTAAGCTACATCAATCACCAGCTAAGAGCTATATCAGCTTGGGGAAACCGACGGCAAGTAACATTTTCACCTGAGAAAACACAAATGATGGTCTCTAGGCACCATGATAGTAATGCAGGTGTAGTAGTAAGTATGAATGGGAGAGTGTTGGTACCTGCGGAAGTTGATATCCTTGGGGTGAAATTTGGCTCAAAACTGACCATGAAGAACCACGTTGTAATCTTGCAAACAAGGCAGCCAGGAAGCTTAGAGCACTTCGCCGTATCTCGCATCTGCTTGACAGTAAGGGTTGCAAGATTTTGTACGAGGCACAAGTACGCTCACACCTTGAGTATGCTCCACTTTCTTGGTTTGTCTGCCACCCCGTCTCATGTGCGACTGCTTGACAGAGTAGAGAACAGAGCAAGACGTCTCATCTCTTGCCTGGACCAATCCTGGATAGATCTGTCATTTCAGCAGAGCCTTCAACACAGGAGGGCTGTAGGTGGCCTTACTGTTATGTACAAGGCCAATATTGTCAAAGTACCACACTTGGATCCACTTCGAGGACACCGTGAAGCAAGCTTCTATACCAAAAAACGGGCAGAAAGCAGCAACTTCACTCTGGCTGTACCCTTCTCCAGATTATTATTATAATCAAAAAGAAGCGCTAAGCCGCAAGGACTATACAGCGCCCTTCTCCAGAACATCACTTCATCTGAGATCATTTATCCCCAGGATGACTCGAGTCTGGAACACATTCGTACAGCATAATGTCAACGAGATTAAGTCAGTTGATCAAATGAAAATGCTGGCCCACAGATGGTCCACAGCTGGCTCACAGCTGGCCCACAGATGGTTCCAACTTCATCCTGTTCCCTACTTGTATGTCTCATAACAATAAAAATGCTTTCAAATGAGCTGATGTAGGTAACAGCTCTTAGCTTGACAATAAAGTGAGGAATCCTTAATCTGTAAATAGCTTGTCAATAAAGCTAGGGATCCTTAACCTGTAAATAGCTTGTCAATAAAGCCAGGAATCCTTAACCTGTAAATAGCTTGTCAATAAAGCTAGGGATCCTTAACCTGTAATTTTTTTTCAACAAGTCGGCCGTCACCCACCAAGGCAGGGTGACCCAAAAAAGAAAGAAAATCCCCAAAAAGAAAATACTTTCATCATCATTCAACACTTTCACCACACTCACACATAATCACTGTTTTTGCAGAGGTGCTCAGAACACAACAGTTTAGAAGCATATACGTATAAAGATACACAACATATCCCTCCAAACTGCCAATATCCCAAACCCCTCCTTTAGAGTGCAGGCATTGTACTTCCCATTTCCAGGACTCAAGTCCGGCTATATAAAAATAACCGGTTTCCCTGAATCCCTTCACTAAATATTACCCTGCTCACACTCCAACAGATCGTCAGGTCCCAAATACCATTCGTCTCCATTCACTCCTATCGAACACGCTCATGCACGCCTGCTGGAAGTCCAAGCCCCTCGCTCACAAAACCTCCCTTACCCCTTCCTTCCAACCTTTTCGAGGACGACCCCTACCCCGCTTTCCTTCCCCTACAGATTTATATGCTCTCCATGTCATTCTACTTTGACCCATTCTCTCTAAATGACCAAACCACCTCAACAACCCCTCTTCTGCCCTCTGACTAATACTTTTATTAACTCCACACCTCCTAATTTCCACACGCCGAATTTTCTGCATAATATTTACACCACACATTGCCCTTAGACAGGACATCTCCACTGCCTCCAGCCGCCTCCTCGCTGCTGCATTCACAACCCAAGCTTCACACACATATAAGAGTGTTGGTACTACTATACTTTCATACATTCCCTTCTTTACCTCCATAGATAACGTTTTTTGACTCCACATATACCTCAACGCACCACTCACCTTTATTCCCTCATCAATTCTATGATTAACCTCATCCTTCATAAATCCATCCGCCGACACGTCATCTCCCAAGTATCTGAAAACATTCACTTCTTCCATACTCCTCCTCCCCAATTTGATATCCAATTTTTCTTTATCTAAATCATTTGATACCCTCATCACCTTACTCTTTTCTATGTTCACTTTCAACTTTCTACCTTTACACACATTCCCAAACTCATGCACTAACCTTTGCAATTTTTCTTTAGAATCTTCCATAAGCACAGTATCATCAGCAAAAAGTAACTGCGTCAATTCCCATTTTGAATTTGATTTCCCATAATTTAATCCCACCCCTCTCCCGAACACCCTAGCATTTACTTCTTTTACAACCCCATCTATGAATATATTAAACAACCATGGTGACATTACACATCCCTGTCTAAGATCTACTTTTTCCGGGAAGTATTCTCCCTCTCTTCTACACACCCTAACCTGAGCCTCACTATCCTCATAAAAGCTCTTTACAGCATTTAGTAACTTACCACCTATTCCATATACTTGCAACATCTGCCACATTGCTCCCTATCCACTCTATCATATGCCTTTTCTAAATCCATAAATGCAATAAAAACTTCCCTACCTTTATCTAAATACTGTTCACATATATGCTTCAATGTAAACACTTGATCTACACATCCCCTACCCACTCTGAAACCTCCTTGCTCATCCGCAATCCTACATTCTGTCTTACCTCTAATTCTTTCAATTATAACCCTACCGTACACTTTTCCTGTTATACTCAGTAAACTTATTCCTCTATAATTTTTACAATCTCTTTTGTCCCCTTTCCCTTTATATAAAGGGACTATACATGCTCTCCGCCAATCCCTAGGTACCTTCCCCTCTTTCATACATTTATTAAACAAAAGTACCAACCACTCCAGCACTATATCCCCCCTGCTTTTAACATTTCTGTCATGATCCCATCAGTTCCAGTTGCTTTACCCCCTTTCATTCTACGTAATGCCTCACGTACCTCCCCCACACTTACATTCTGCTCTTCTTCACTCCTAAAAGATGGTATACCTCCCTGACCAGTGCATGAAATTACCGACTCCCTTTCTTCCTCAACATTTAAAAGTTCCTTAAAATATTCTCGCCATCTACCTAATACCTCCCTCTCCCCATCTACTAACTCCCCAACTCTGTTTTTAACTGACAAATACATACTGTAAATAGCTTGCCAATAAACCTAGGGATCCTTAATATGTAAATAGCATGTCAATAAACCTAGGGATTCTTAATCTGTAAATAGCTTGTCAATAAACCTAGGGATCCTTAACCTGTAAATAGCATGTCAATAAACCTAGGGATCCTTAACCTAAGCTTGTCAAACCCTGTGCAAAAAAAAAAAAAATGAGGGAGGTAACGGACTAAAGCCTACTACACTCCCTTTAAAACGTCAACAGTACCCAACAACGGGTGATAATAAAGTGCTCACCTGACAAGATGAAAGTGACAACAGGAACAGAAGATGAAGAGACTTCAAGCAAGTATACTAAAGAGGGAAAGTGATAATGAAGGATGTGAACAGCGCTACACAACCTCTAACAACGGCCTCTGTGCCGTGACTGGAGACCAGACACATCCAGACTGGACGTCATAGTGAAGCCACATGTATATTATTATTATTCACGGGGAAGCGCTATATCCGTAGGGGTCAGCAACACCACTAGAAAACTAGGCAGTTAGGTTGGATGGAACGTAGCGTCGATTCCTTGGAACAAAAGCCCTTTACCAGCATAACCTAGAAAAGAGTAAGACTTTATTTCCACTGAGGTATTTGTGAATACTAATGGATTAAGTTAAGTTAGGTCAAGTTACCTGGAGAGAGTTCCGGGGGTCAACGCCCCCGCGACCCGGTCTGTGACCAGGCCACATGGTGGATCAGGGCGTGATCAACCTGGCTGTTACTGTTGTTAGGACTCCATAATATATTGTTAGTATTCCACAATATGGGTCATACCGTCTGGGAACGGAAAACAGTCAAGTTTGATCCGAGGAACAAGTCGCTCGTGTGCAATAACAAATGAACACGAACTAGATTCCCCTAGACTTACAAACTTAACCTGTTTATACCATTATAGTACCTGGAGTTTACCTGGAGAGAGTTCCGGGGGTCAACGCCCCCGCGGCCCGGTCTGAGACCAGGCCTCCTGGTGGATCAGAGCCTGATCAACCAGGCTGTTGCTGCTGGCTGCACGCAAACCAACATACGAGCCACAGCCCGGCTGATCCGGAACTGACTTTAGGTGCAGTACCTGGTTATGGACCAGGCCAGGGGGGCGGTGACCCCTGAAACATCCTCCAGGTATAGTACACGTACAGTACCTGGTCATGGACCAGGCCACGGGGGCGCTGACCCCTGAAACATCCTCCAGGTATAGTACACGTACAATACCTGGTCATGGACCAGGCCAGGAGAGTGTTGACCCCTGAAACATCCTCCAGGTATAGTACACGTACAATACCTGGTCATGGACCAGGCCAGGGGAGTGTTGACCCCTGAAACATCCTCCAGGTATAGTACACGTACAATACCTGGTCATGGACCAGGCCAGGGGAGTGTTGACCCCTGAAACATCCTCCAGGTATAGTACACGTACAGTACCTGGTCATGGACCAGGCCAGGGGGGCGCTGACCCCTGAAACATCCTCCAGGTATAGTACACATACAATACCTGGTCATGGACCAGGCCAGGGGGGCGTTGACCTCTGAAACATCCTCCAGGTATAGTACATGTACAGTACCTGGTCATGGACCAGGCCAGGGGGGCGCTGACCCCTGAAACATCCTCCAGGTATAGTACACGTACAGTACCTGGTCATGAACTACGCCACGGGGGCGCTGACCCCTGAAACACCCTTTAGGTATACCTTGTATTTCTCTGCAGTGACATTATTTGTGTAATTAATACTGCCATTCCTATTCTTTGTTATTGATAAATTCTTTTGTTAGTTTTACTGTTACCTGGAGGGTGCTTCGGGGGTCAACGCCCCCTCTGCGCGGTCCATGACCAAGCCTGGTGGTGGATCAAGATCTGGTCAGCCAGGCTGTTACTGCTGACCACACGTAAACCAAAGTAGGAACCACAGCCCGGCTGGTCAGGCACTGACTTAGGTGTCTGTCCAGGTCCCTCATCAAGACAGCCATGAGTTTATTAGTAACCCCTCATATATATGCTGGGAGGCAGTTGAACAGTCCTGGGCCCCTGACACTGCACTCATGGGGCCCTACTTTTCACTGGGAGATGTTGCATCACCTGCCCAGTCTTTTACTTTCATAAAGAAAGTATAAAAGTGTTTCTGTCAATATAATTCCACTTCTATATAATATATCTGCATATACGACATCAATATAACTCAACCTGGAGAGAGATAATAGAAAGGGATAATAGAAAGTACTATTAATCACCTCATCTTTATAATTATAAGAGCACTGTTTAAGTAAATGTGTTTAGGGAAGCTTTAAACACACTTACTGAGCACTTAAAGGCACTTAACATAGTGTTATGTGTAAACATTACACTTGGAAGCATCTTAACACCATCTTACAAAAAATATTTCACAAACATTTGTATGAAGCAATGTTTTAGTTAAAAATAAATGGCACATTTTGTATTTTTGGTAATATATATTCTTCGTGGAAGCCAAAATTTTTAATTTTATGGGAGGGACTGTCAGTGGAATGAGTATTTATCAAAGGTATGAATTTGCAGTGGGTT